ACCTCAGCCGCTCTGATTTCAGTGCCTGCAGCAAATCGAAGGAGGATGGAGAACCTGAGCCTTGAGGAGTGTCATCAATCTGCAGATAAACTTTGCGTTCAGTTACTGAATCAGAGAAGGTCATGGAATAACTCGGTGTCGAATCAATAACTTGGCCAGGAATATTCAGCCTCTGATAGACTACTGAAGAGTCCAGGTATAAACTGTGTGTAAATTGTGAAGGCATGCATATATATATATATATATTTCAGTCTAACAGCAAAAGTAACAACTCTGGCAAAACTGAAGTAGCTGAAGTTACATAACCAGACTTCATTTTCTTCAAGAATTAGAAAGACATGAAATCAGTTAATACATAGAAAGTATTCTATAAATATATTTGATATAAATTCTTCACTTCTGAGTAATAAAAGCACTCAGTGCTACAGCAGAGCTACACTGTATACGAATGTGTCGGTATTATTTTTGGCTATTGACAGCTCTGAAATGTGAGTAATTTAGGAAGCTGAAAATAGAGAACACTGGGGTTGATTTGTAAGCAAAAGCAAAGTTATATTAAAAACCCAGACAGACGGAAAATATGACTTATGATACAGAAGAAACACCTGCTTCTGCTTCTTTAGAAAATGGTTGGCAAATTAAAATGTTGTTTCTATAAAATCCCATTACAAGGCACAACCCAATGCTGAGCACCCGTTGCACGTCTCCCCCATATCCGAGGCACATGTGCTACATACACAGTGCAGGTGCCTAACAGCTACAGCTTTGGAACTGGAAAACACATTTGAAGAGAGCCTTAGTCTGCAAGGTACTTTCAGGGATAGCAGGGATAACAATACTGCAAACACGACTCTGCTGTTGTTTCTGTATCTACTCAGCAAGGAAACGTGCAACATTTTCTTGCTAATTTTAACCCACATTATCATTATTTGCATATCTTGTCTATAAAAATACGCACAGGTAGATCCAGGGGCCAGGTTGGACAGTGCCAGCTCGCCCTGCCCGGCGCACCGTCCCCAGCTCCGTGCCCAGAGTCAGCCCCGGTAGGACCGAGCCCAGCGCTGCAGCACATCCTTTAGGTTTGCCTTCATGGGAAGGTTCATGTAGTCTGCAAGCCATCAGTTTGAAGCAGTGTCATGGACTTGCTTTTCAGCTGTCCTTTTTTTAAAATATTCTTCTAATAAATGATGCTCCACCCCCGGACAAAGGTGTGTGGGTCAGAGGGCCTGAAAGCAGAAGGCAGCAGGGCCCACGAAGCGCACCCAACCTGGGGCACGGGTGCTGAGCGTGACCAAAAGCACCAACAGACGACGGGGAATGGAGCGACGGCTGCTGGATCCCCCAAGGCAGAAGCTTTGGAGGCTGCTCCCTGCGCCGCTGCAGGAACTGCCCATTGCCCCGTGCCAGCCGCCACGTGGGCTGGTGTCACCCACTGCCAGCCTTGGGGATAAATAAAGTATGTTTGGGAAGTTTAACAGAATCAGGCAAAAAGCTGTTCTCCTCCCTGGCTTTGCAGAATTATGAACAACAGAAAAAGCGAAGGCTTGTTCCCTCGCTCAGCTCCCGGGCACAAAGAAGCCAGGAGGGTCTAATCTGGGTGTCCAGGACCTCGCTCAGGGACAGGGCTGGCTGGCCAAGAACAAGCTCTCCTCTGCACAAACATTCACTGTTTTACCTATTTATTTCTATTCTGATGGGAAATGGAAATGAAGCTTTTCAAAATAATCTGAAGGAAAAAACAAACAAAAACCAAAGCCGAAACAGAGCAATGACACGGCGAGGCCAGCGCTGCGCTCGGTGGCAGATATTCCACGGTTAACGCGGGACCGCGGGACCGGATGCCTGTGCGAAGCCTCTCAGTCCGCGCTGTCCCGCTTCACGTGAATTATCAAACTCTCCTTTTGTCTCCAGCAGAGCTGGGGGGTCACTTACGAGGCAGAAGGACCCCCTGCTACTCCCTCACGAGGCGCCCGTGAAGCGTCCCCGCGCTCCCGCCCGCCGGGTGTCCTACAGCCCGTCTGGCACAAAGAACCATGTTCAACGAGGATCTCACTGCCCCTGAATACGTCACTGGTACAAGTGCACACACGTGTGCACGCACACACGTTATATCAGCGCATATGACCTCTGCCAACACACACAGCCCGCCGTGATGGAGCCCCCCGAGCCGGGGCCTACAAAACTGCTTGTGGCAGTGCTGCCCTGCAGCCCGGGCAAGGCCGGCCGGACCTGACCCAGGCAAACGCCGTCCCCACACCCCGAGGACGAAGCCTTTGTAGATATTTACAATCTCTCTACAACATTACTTCAGCTAGTTCCGTTTCTAGAACATAGCCCTGGCAAAACCAAACCAGGCAACATGCGAGGATGCAGGAGTTTCCTATGCACAAAGACTGCAAAGACATTTCTGGAACCATATATTTATATGTATGAATCATAAGCCTTTGTTAGTGCTTAGTTATTTTTTAGTGGTAGGGTCACATTTTCAATTAAAACTTTATTATTATTATGCTGCTTCCCAAGTGCAAGCTACACGCGCGCTTGGAGCTGACCACCATTACAGTGATATGTGCTTGAGAACATCATTAACTCTGACAACATGTAATTATTGCTGTAAACTAATTTTAAAATGAAAAATTTTATCTTGACTGGGATATGTACTTTATTCTAGCTTATGAAGGACATATATAACACTTACAGCTTTTTTTCATTACAGGTGCAAACCAGGATCTTTATGGAGCCCATGAGCTTCGGTTTTAAATGTTCTTCTATCCAATGCCAATGTCCTTGGAACATCATAGGAATACTTAGCAATCAAAAAAAAAAAAAAAAGGCAAACGAGATCTATGAGACTGACAGGTCTGTCTATGGCTGTCATGTTTGAAGCTTGTCTTTCTTGAATGACTCTTGCTTATTATTCATTTCTGTATCATCCCAGTGAAGTCTACAATAGTTCTAAATCACTGTTCTATTTAAAATAAACATATTTAAACACTAAATGGCCTCAGTTCTTCCCTTTTAGGTTCCCCTTCCGGACTTCTCTCTCCCCGGGATGACAGCTTGAAGCTAACAGTCTTGTCTTCCTTGCCATGCTGCCGCACAGTTTGCTTCCAAGGAATACTCAGGAATGGAGATCGGAGAGGCGAGTCCGGGCTGTCGTCTCCAGCGCTGCCGCCTCCGGCCGCGGGGACACGAGTGTCCTCTGGGTGCACTGGAGCGGGGCTCCCCTGCGGAAGGGGACACGAGTGTCCTCTGGGTGCACTGGAGCGGGGCTCCCCTGCGGAGGGGGACGTGGCCGCGCGGCGCCGGAGCGGGGCTCCCCTGCGGAGGGGGACGTGGCCGCGCGGCGCCGGAGCGGGGCTCCCCTGCGGAAGGGGCCGCGGCCGTGCGGTGCCGTGGGGCCCTCGCCCTCCATTGCGGCCCGCGGGGCTTCCTCCAGGCACGCGGAGCCGCTCGCCACCTTTTTGAGCCCCATGAATTCTCACGGGTTACTGCAAGCTCATTTCTTAGTCCTGCTTTCTGCTATTGGGACACACAGAAAACCTATACCATGGAGAATCACACAGATGCTTTCCCTGCAAAACTAGCTGTTTTATCAGAGAACTAGAATGCGTTAGTTCTGCATGATTCTCTGTGACAAGCTAACCCCTGCCCTTATCTCATTTTCTCCTTCTCCACCCATTTCTTTCATGACTTTTAACTGACAAAACACAAACCAACACCTCGTGCCCCCACAGGACCCATTCTCGGGCGTTTCCCTGTGTCCCTTTGCTCCCGGGAAGCGCGGCGCTGGCTCCGGCGCCGCGGGTGAGCAGGGCTCCGTGCCGGCGCGTGGTGCCAGCCCTTCCGCTCCGGCCACGCAGGGCTCGGGGCCGGCCCCCCCCC